AATGCACTGTATGACGAATAGGTACATTTCACTACTGGTCAAAGTGCATCTCCATCATTTCCTCCTGCATCTCAGTGGAGGGCAGGTGAATTGAAATGCAAAGGTAAACTTACAAAATTGCACCAGAGTGCTTCTCTTTTGGGATTTGTCCATCTGTAAGGGAAATCTGTTCTAACGAGGTTGCACTTACTATGTGAGAGCCTGCTAGAGAGGTGAGAAAGACACATGGATAGAAAGATACCTCAAACAGCAAGAAAAGACATTGCATTTGACTCACCAGTTCTTGTTACCAAAGTGAAGCCTGCAAGCATTCAAAAATACAAATGCTCTGAGCATTACATTTGTGAGCAATACATTTGTGAAATAAAAGTACAGTCTTCTCCTTTCTCCCTCACTTTCAAAAAAAATGTGCAATGAGATGGCTAGATTTTGATTTATGAGCTTTAACAACAGAGTAGGAAGGAAATAAGCTGTTTAGCTGTCTGTGATTTAATTAATAGTGTTTGCTCTGTTACAAGCCTGTTGATGCAGGGTATTTTTGTTAAACTGGGACTCTGAAATGTGGCTTGCACAAAAATTATAGCTGCAGACTCCTGAATATGTATGTGGTCAGTCACAGGAAGCAGCTCAGTTGAAACCCTCAGGAGAGCTCTGCATTGTAAAGGAAATATTTGTACCCAGTGATGGCAAGAATTCATCTCAGATGCACACACATGCATAATTGCACCCGTGAACTGGAAACTAGTATTCCAGGAAAATGGGGCCCAAGAATTTGTATGCAAAGATGAAATTCATATCCCAGACATATCAGTGGAATTAATTTAGCCAGGTTTCTCTGTCCAAACAGACAGGAACATTTCAGGGGTTGGAATATGATATTTGATAAACCTTAAGGGAAAAGCAAACATCCCAGAAAATACAATACCTCATCAGATAGATGGATCGGAGTTGCAAGAACAGATTTAGTTTTGGTATGTTGGTTAGTGTAGAATCACAGAATTACAGATTGGTTGAGGTTGGAATAGACCTCTAGAGATCACCCAGTCCAACCCCCCCGCCGCCAATGGCGGGGTTTTGAACCCCAGGTGGTTTTTGAAGATCTCCAAAGAAGGAGACTCCACAAGGTCTCCAGGCAGCCTGTTCTGAGGTTGTCACCCTCACAGTAAAAAGTTCTTCCCCAAATGGAGATGGAACTGCCTGTATTCTAATTTATACTCATTACCCCTTGTCCTGTCGCGGCCATCACCAAAAAGAGTTTGCCCCTATCTTCTTTACATTCTTCCCTCAAGTATTTATACATATTGACCAGACCCCCTCTCAATCTTCTCTCCTCCAGGCTAAGCAGGCCCAGCTCGCCTAATCTTTCCTCACACGATAGATGCTCCAGTCCGTTAATCATTTTTGTTGCTCTACACTTGACCCTCTTTAAAAGCTCCACGTCCCTCTTGTACTGGGGAGCCCAGAACTGCACCCAATATTCCAGGTGCGGCCTCACCAGAGCTGAGGAGAGGGGCAGGATCCCCTGCCTCAACCTGCTGGCAACACTCCTCCTGATGCAGGCCAGGATCCCATTGGCCTTCTTGGCCATGAGGGCACATTGCTGCCTCATGGTTAACTTGTTGTCAACCAGGATTCCCAAATCCCTCTCGGCAGAGCTGCTTTCCGGCAAGTCAACCCCTAATCTGTACTGGTGCCTGGGGTTATTCCTCCCCAGGTGCAGGACCCTGCACTTGTCCTTGTTGAACCTCATGAGGTTCCTCTCTGCCCAACTCTCCAATCTGCTGAGTGGCAGCACGGCCTTCTGGAGTGTCAGCCACTCCACCCAGTATCATCCACAATCTTGCTCAGGGTGCACTCTGTCCCCTCATGCAAGTCATTAATGAACAAATTGAACAGCACTGGGCCCAGTACTGATCCCTGCGGGACACCACTGGCCACAGGCCTCCAACTAGACTCAGCCCCATTTATCACCACCCTCTGAGCTCTGCCATCCAGCCAGTTCTCAAACCACCTCACTCATCTAACCCACACTTCTGGAGCTTCCTTATTAGGATGTTATGGGACACAGTGTTGAAAACCTTTCTGAAGTCAGCGTAGACAACATCCACAGCTCTCCCATCATCCATCCAGACAGCCATCCCATCGTAGAAGGCTAGCATCAAACATGATGATCAACAATCAAACATTCATCAAACATGACTTCCCCTTGGTGAATGCATGCTGACTATGCCTGATTGCCTTCTTTTCCTTCATACACCTAGAGACAGTCTCTAGGATGAGCTGTTCCATCACCTTTCCAGGGATGGAGGTGAGGCTGGCCGGCCTGTAGTTTCCCGGGTCCTCCCTCTTGCCCTTTTTGAAGACTGGAGTGACATTGGCTTTCTTTCCGTCCTCTGGCACCTCCCCTGCTCTCCGTGACCTCTCAAAGATGGTGGAGAGCAGATAAGCAATAAACTCCGCCAGTTGTCTCAGCACTCTTGGGTGCATCCCATTCAGGCCCATAGATTTATGGGGGTCCAGTTTGCCTAAATAACCTCTAACTCAATCCTCCTCGACCAGTGGAAAATCCTCCTCTCTCCCGGTTCTCTCTCTTGTGTCCCGGCTCTGTAGTCCATGGGGACTAGCTTCAGCAGTAAAGATAGAAGATTTTTTTTTTAATCTTTTAATTAACTGGAAATGTTGTGTAATAAATATCACCTAATGCACTCTCCTAATGCATCCTTTACCTCATTCTGGTTTCATCAAAAGCGTGATGCCTATCCATGGCTAACTAGCTTCAGATACTTCCAGGTCAATGAAACTCCAGATCAGTTCACTCTCGAAAAAACCTCGAGTTTGCAGTCAAATCACCCAGCTGTCTACAGAATGACTAGAAGGTACAAAAGCATCAAAAGCAGCAGCTCTTTACAGGGGTTACTTTACTTACAGCTTTTTCTATAGATGCAAGGAAGCCCTCCCTGTCTGTCCCAGTTAGGGCACAGATAGCTGAGACATTTCTGAATCAGCTGGAGAAATGTCAGATGACTGCACGGTCATTTGAGAGAACCCACCAACAACTTCAGTCTGCAAGGGGGAAGCAGGGGTGGCCATGCTGCCAGCCATCCCTCACAAAGCCGCGTTGTCTCCTGAGTCACTTATCTGAGGCTGGCTCTGCGGTCCAAGCAGAGTCCCGCTACGGGCTGTTAGTCAGCTCACTGCAGACTTCCTCCCTGCTTATAGCATGGGCTTGTGAGAGTCTAACTTCAGCAGCTGGAATATCCCTAGTTTCCTTGACCTAAACCTGAGGAAACTCTGCTCTGACACCTGACCCCATGGCAAGGGCCCTCACGCTTGGGTATGGTGTCCTCAGCAGGATTGGCAGACTTGATACAGAACAGAAGCAGTGCTGACAGTGATGTGATCAAATAAAGCAAACCATGTCTCCAAGGTTAATTGTGTGGTTCCCAGAATGTTTTCCAGCATTAGTTTCCCACATTCCCCAGGGAAGGACTTCCTACTGGCTAGGGCCGCACGACTCCTCCTCCCTCTGTCTGGCTGACACTTCCAACCTTATGATCCCAAATTCAGCTTCTGGGCAGAGGGCAGCAGAGACCATCCCTGGGGAGGTCATTCAGAGCAATTGCAATGTTCTGCACTCTCAGCTGCTTTACCAGCCGAAGCAGCTGCTGGACGCTCCTGGTGCCAGAGGAGGTAAGTTTGCTCATGGCAACATCTGAGAGGAAGGACCATAGAAGAGATAAGGGGAGATACTTCCAGCTAGCCCACAGATGAGACAAACCTGATGCAGGTGCAGAAGAGCCTACCCTTGCCTGATCAGAAGTAAAAACTGAGCAACAGCTCACTGAAATCACACAGTGGCTCTGCCCCCTCTCAGCTCCAGGTTCAGTTGAACATTGGAAACTACTGGTGTTGCGGCCCACACTGTGGGTCAGGTGGACATAAGGTTGCCATACACCTCTGCAGCAACATGTGATATGAATCCACTACCACTACAAAACCAATATGAATTCACTTGGTGTGGATCCATTTTACTACCTGGAACTCTTCTGTGAGTTTTGGAAAGTTAAATAATTCCCTTAAAGCAATACGCCAGCCTACCCTGCAGTCAGAAAGGATGCAAGGTCTCAGAGTAACAACTTAGGTCTTTTTAGAGAATCAGGAGATTACTGTAGTTTTGATTTTTGCTTTGATATATTGTTGTATAGTCCGTGGCATGTACCAGTTCTCTGCAAGATGTTAAGTAAAGCAGGGTCCCCTTAGTAGCTGTGCACTGCATTGCCTATTCCATCTTTAGCACAGTGATCAAGGCAAACTAAGGAAGACCAATGAATCATTCCTCTGTTATCCAGGAATTTTTTCTTTTGAATTGGAGCCCTTATGACTCTTACTGCAAAATCACCAAATGAGACCAGCAGAGCAGTAAGGGAACATGATGTAACGCTCCTTTAGGATATGATCTAAAAATCTTTTCTGGCCACAAAATTCAAGCAGCCAAGCCACAGGACAAAAACAGCTTAAAGCCCATTGTCTACTTTTCTTATGCTGACAAGATGCTGATGAGCTTCACTTCATGGAAAAACAGCTCCAAAGAATCATCCCTCAAATATGTTTTTTTATAGTCCATTTTCCTCATTTTCTATATTCATTCTTCCAAACATGTCCTAAACAACATCTAGTTATGTACCACACTATAAATGGAGGCAATTTGTTACACAAATTATGCACATTTAAATCTACATTACACTTGCATCAAAATGATCATCACATTGTCATGATCGCATTATTTATTACAATTTAACTACCATCAGTCTAGGAAGAAAACAACTCTCATAAAGAACCCAGCCATTTCATAATTTACATTATTTGTATTTTCATTCTTGCAACTGAAACAGAACTGAAGTATAACTGCAAGTCTGAGGCAGTGTTCTTATATGCAGCAAAAAGAATCTAAGGTTCGAGGGTCATTTTCAGATGAGACATTTTTACCTCTGACAACACCCTTATTTGGCTGAACGTGTATACTCCAGAATGTAGGCAGGATAAACCTGAAGCTTCTCAAAGATGACAAAGATGGAAGGATTGTTTGGGTCATCTACACAGCTGTCATAGAGCCTGTTTGGATTCTCAGGTCTAGGTGGAGGGCGAACGTATCCTGAGTTTCCCCGAACAAAGTCTCCAACAAGAACATGAGCTACAAACATGCTCTGGTGACCACTGCTGGATGGGCAGAACCGATCAGCATAACTGGCGTCTCTGGCAAAGTAGCTTCCTAGAGAACAGAAAAAGGCACAAGTAAGAAAATACATTAGTCAAAGGAGCGAATGGCTGCTATTGTCGCTTTGACTACCAACAAGCCAGCAAGCTCCTCGTTCTCATTTCTACCCCACAAAACTCTAAACACAGCTATTTCCACATTGGTTGATTTTAAAGCATGAGCGGATGCTGGACACATTTCACCATGCACCTGCTATGGCTGGAGCTGCCCTGAAGCACAGGCTCTTGCCCTCGCACCTTTTCCATAAAATGTCCCGTGAGCCCCGCAGACCCGCCAGTCGAAATTCTGCTCGCAGATGGCAGCCAGGTGGGACTGGTTCGTGCCATGGAACAGCAACCGCTCATCTACCTCTTGCTCTGGTCTTCTCTTTTTCATCTGCTCCTTTTGCCTATGGAAGAAAAAAAAGAAGACTCGAGGTTTCAGCAGATGCATATACACCCATGCACAAACAGCTCCTTTATCTAGGTCTGCCCTCTTCTCCATCCAAGTTCCAACCAGATTACAAATCATATGGAGGGTTGAACAGAAAGAGTATGCAGAGTATGACCTCTCTCATGCCTTGCCTTAGCCTCCCCTGCTAAACCTCTGTGTGCATGTCTGAACCAGAGATGAGGGTTTTTGAAATCAGAAGACACAAATAAAATGAGATTAATCCCTTTCCTCTTGAACTCAAGCCTTCCCCTCTCCCACATGTCAGGACAGAGCCTTTCACATTAAATCAGACCGCATGGTGGCTTCCCACATGCCATCAGAAGGCAGGTGTGTCGTATATCTCTGTTTAGTGCCTTTCTATGCGTCCCTCAATAGAGAAAGAGGATATACAGCAGGGAAAATAAGGACCTGCTTTTTTTTTGTGGCATCAGGTCTGATCTCAGTCGACTATTTCTCATGCTGAAATATTGAATTAGGATCCTCCAATGCCTGTAACTGATGACATGGCTGAAGAGGTGGCTTGCTCCTTTGATGGCCTTCAAAGAGAGTTTGATTCTCTTCTTTCTTGGCTCACGTCAGTGTCAGCAGGCCAAGATAACTAATATACATCATATTGTCTTTCCTAGACATTCTCCTTCCTTCCCTGCCCCCATCCTCAGAAAAGTTTCTAAGGACATCCTCCATGCAAAACTCGCAGAAATTCAGATATTCAGAAACTCTTCAGTTATTTCCAAGAGAACCTTTGAAAGTATAGCAGGAGAGATTTCAGAAAATACAAGATGGTTTGATGAGGGAGAAAAGAATCAAAACCAGAAAACTGAATTTCTAATATGTAGCAACCTGGTGCTACTCCCACCTCTTACAGGGGCAAGGAGATAGATCACAAGAGAAAGAGCAATCTGCCTCCCTAGGCAATCTTCACCACCAATTACCAGTTGGGTTAGAACCTTAGGTTTTGGTCTCTGACCTCAACTTTGCTGATAAACATAACATATTAGCGATTAAGCAAGGCATATTTACTGCAGTTTCAGACTATATTTTCAGAGAAGAGCTCAAGTAGTCTTTTGTTTAGATGTATCAAAAAGTTTTTAGCTCCTGCCTCTATTGAAGGGATAAAATCCATCTAACCAAACGTACCTATTCCCTTACTGGCCAATCAAATCTGTCCATTATTGCCACAGGTTCTGTTCAGTTCTGACCATGTTTTACATGACAAAATTCTACACCTACAAGATCAAGAGAGCTCTCCATCAGAGTTTTGACTAAATTGTTCTGCTGAGTTGATAGAAAATGTTCGTGTAAACTAACATGTGGCCAATTTTTGCAGGAATATTCCAGTTTTCATGCTGTTTTTCTCAAAAAAGCTGATTTCAAACGGTATCTCTGGTTACTGTACTCAAACCCAATGACCCTATCCCAAACTGTGCAGTTACTGCAATGAAAAGGACAGAACAGAAAGTAAATGTCCTCAGAACAGGGATGCTTACGTTCAGTATAAGCCTAAAATTAAATGTTTCCATGTCCTGGGGAAACAGTCCACCCATTCCTCTGACTGTCGCATTTCATGAGAAAATAAAAATCTGGCCTTCTCCATTTTGAATTAGAACATTTTGCAGTTCTCAGAAGCTAAAGATTAAAGAAAACATTTGCCCATGTTGTTCTATCAGCAGAGAGAAAACTCTAGAAACTGCCATGTATAGTTTGAACTTACAGTGCTTTTCTTTTTTCCTAATATTTTTTTAAAACAGCTTCTACAGTACCAGATCTACAAAACAGGGTCTGTATGGACCTCAGATAATAAATCCAAGTTACAAAAGCTATCTTCATAATAAAAATTTTTATGTTACTATATTTTTCTGATCGAAACATGAATTTCCTGTGAAACTCATGTCTAATTTCACAGGACTCCCAAAATTTTTGTCATTAACCCCTCTCATTTCTGTTTTTTTTTTTTGTGTGTGTGTGTGTGTGTGTGTCTTAAATCAGAGAATCAGAGCAATATACTCATGAGAAATCAGTCTACACTGAAGACAGTTTGGATATGGTGCTCAGCAGAGGGAGACAATTTTCCTTTTGCTAAACAGAGAACCACCCACATGTCCTGAGCAAGAGCTGGGGCCCAGCGATTATCAGAACTGCTCGGCTGCCACAAGAAGAATGAAATAAAGTGGATACAAACAACTGGAAATGCTGCCAAAGCGTTGGGTTCTGGATTCTATGCAGCGCGTGGATTTTGCAATCTTTCATTGTCCGCTTAAATAGGTCCTCAATTTCTCTATATTTGCTGGTAGAATGGCTGACTTTTACTAGCTGCAAATATGAACACAAAGACAAAACTGTTAAAAGAGCTTTCAATTACACCTCCCCAGTCCTTCCTGCCCATCAGGGAGGGAAACACTTGTGTCTATAATCACAGGTGATAATTTTTCAGAGTCTTCACCATCTTTTCCTCACTCTCATTCCTATCTCAGTGTGTTCTGAACTCTACTCTGAGACCTGGACTATAATATGAAGGAGCTTTCTATGGATCATGTTTATTCTGCACACAGAGATATCCTTGTCCAAAAAAACCCTCTGGGTTCATAATAGGTGTGCAGCTGGAGAAGAGAAAGTGAAATAGTTCTTCCATATCAAGTCACACCTGCCTTTCTTGTTCAATAGCTCCCTTTTATAGGCAAGTCCTAATGTTGCTGTAGTGAGTCATAAATAAGCTATATAATGACACCATCTGATGTTTCAAAAATATACAAGATCTAAATCTCATAATAACAATATTAAATGAATGGATGGTTGCCCTAAAGCACTTGCTTTGATTTGAAATTCTAGCACATGTCTGAGTTTTAAAGGAGAGAGTGCTGTGAATAGGCCACTGCCAAGCAGAGCTGACACTCAACCTCCAGATCATCAGTGATCACGTAAGTCACATCCAAAGCACTGTGGAGCTATGGAACATCTATACTTATCCCTCTTGCAGGTGCACGTGTTTGAAGTGATGTGTTTACAAGCTGACAACTAACAGAACCAATCCCTGGACTTGGATGCATATTTTACACTTGCTTGACACAAGAGCCAGACTTTTCCCAGAGGAATGAACAGATGTGATCAGGTATATACCTCATATCCTATTTTGGGTAGTGCTGAAAGGTCCCAGTCTGAAGGAAACTGACGATATGTGCAAACAGCATCTGATTGCCTGTTTAAAACAAGTTTAAACAAGATCAGAAAGCACAAGGGACTTCCGTGAAGCAGTGTCCTGGTTATGAAATATAAACTACGTCTCAAGGGTTGCCTCAGAAAATCTGAGCTCTTTATATTCTCTATATGCTTTTCTCCCAAGCTAACACAAGCTACCAGTAGAGAGCTTCCATGTACATTATAGTAAGGCTTTCAGCAAAGCAAGGTGTTACACTTTGCTTTCATTCTTGGCTGCACATTTATAAGCATACCCCAAAACATTCAGTTTTACTTCTGTCTGAAGAAGGCACAAATAGCCCTATCATGAATGTAACTTCCAGTACCTTTTGTTGTCCTGTTTGCTACTGCCACCCGTTGCAGCACTTGGACTCCTGCAGATTTTTATCTCAGTGTGAGTATTCAGATTTCTCTGGACCATTTCTTGAAAGAGAACACAAAAGTATCAAGAATTAGAAAGAAGAACTCCATCTGGGCGTGCTGCCCAGGAGAGTCATTGTGCAACCCAGAGAAACAATATCCTTCCCAGCGCCTTGCTTCCGCCGCCGCACATTCCCAATGTGTCACAGCAGGATTATCTTAGCTGTTCCTGTAGGGAGCCCCTCCTTCATGCCACACCATTCCTG